AACCAGTCGTGTGTGTGTGTGTGTGTGTGTGTGTGCTGTCTCTTATACACATCTAGATGTGTATAAGAGACAGGCCTAGCACAGTTCGTACACTCAATGAACTGTTGAAATACAGACCCAAGTTCAAATCGGGATGCAGCCAGATGAACAGATCAAAATCATTCTGAATTACGTAGTGCCGGTCAGTTCAAGGATGATATCTCAAGAATGTCGCCCTTTTTAGAAGAAAAGCAGGGGGGGTTAATGAAGAAAGTAAAGATGGAATCTGTGAGGTGAAAGAAAGCAGGGGCTAATGAAGAATGTAAAGAAGGGATCTTGCACTCTTAAACGAGAAGAGAGAAGTAGGGCCAACAACCTTCATGGAATGGAAGCCAAGAAGGATGGGGATGCGGTACGTCTCTCTTGCCTCTCTTCTCTTTATGTGTCAGTTTCAAAAATGGTCTCCTACGGTCTGGCACTGGCAACTGATAAGTAGTCTAGGTGATTGGGGCCACGTCCTGCACAGCACAACACTAGCTTGTTTCACACGCCTATTCATCCGGATGGTCCCTCCCAGATGAAACAGCACAAGTCAGCGTGAAAGCGGCAGTGTCGGACATGTAAAGCCGAAGTAAAATTACAATCACTTCATGAAATGTGCAAAAGAAGTTGACCCTGTTATGATCCTGGCCAATTTCGAGATACACATTCATCAGATAACACAATGCTGTCCAATTGCAGAAAGAAATGAATGAACTTGAGAGGAGAGAGAGGATTAGAAGAAGAAGTGAGAAAGAAGAAGAAGATGATGTACACCAGCATAGACAAACGACAAGGCTCTTCTTCTTCGCCCAACAATCTCCTCCTTATCTCCCCCTTCTCTTATTCATACAAGAAATAATAATACAATGTTGAATGGCTGATCCAGAATCAATGTCCGAGTTCCTCTTCTACTGCCGGCATCACTTGAGGTCCACCATAGCCATGGCCGCCTCTTCCTCTCTTCATCATCATAGGCTGAGGCTATGGCGGATTACTAGGCCTTGCCCAGATGCCCAAAGGACAACCCAAAGCAGCTATGGCTGCTCCACTCAGTCCGCCATGCGCTACTCCGCCTTGAAGCTTCTTGGTGAAGCTCTCCCCAGTTGGGGACTCCCTGCTGCAGCGGCCACCAAGGTGATGCATGGATGCCACCATAGCCAGGTAAGTACCCCTGGCGCTCCTCCCCCTTCCTGTCCTTCTTCCTCCTCCGTGTCCTTCTCCTTCCCCCAGCAGCGCTGCTCCAACCGGCGCCACAACCAGTGTGTCGCCAAACTTGCCCACCGAGAATGAGGCCGGGCTCCTCGCCCGGTTGGCAGATATAGCGGCCTGCTTGCCTCTTCGGGCGGCGACTTCCAGGCCGCTCGGCTTCCAAGCAAGCGGTACCTCCTCCCTTTCGGAGGGAAACATCATTGCAGACTCTGATATTGCCCGTACAGGCCCTAGACCCAGACTGGTTGGACTGGTATCCGCCTAAACCTACTGTTACATACCTCAACAAGTATGAGCAGAACCAAAGATCAACCAATATAGGATGAGCATATATGCAGCGGAAGTCTGATAAATGGACTGACTCACATAGACTGACTCACACAGATGTCACTCCACACACACAAACAATCGTGAGATGGTGGGGTCTGAGCCAATCATAGACGATGCTCAGGCCCCGTACAACCATACACAGATGAAAGGTGGGAGAAGAGACGAAGGAGGTGGGAGATGCAGGCTGCGCCAGATGTCACCGAGATAGAATCCAATAGGTCACCGATATGGTAGTCCAAAATGTCATCGACCAAGATCAAAATGTCGTGGACAATAAGTCACCAATGTTGGAGGTACCGAGTCCTAATGTAAACGGTGTCCAATCTGTGATGCCGCCGAGTATCAACCCAACAATCTCCAAGTCTCAAATCCGGTAAGTACCACAGCCTCTCACCACCGAAGCCCAACACTGATCTCTGTCCAACTAGTGCGAAGTCTCCAGTCTGAAGAAGAAGAAGAAGAAGAAGTCTGAAGAAGAAGAAGAGATGGCAGAGGAGGAGGTGAGGAGGAGAGAGCCTGGGGCCGTGGAGGGAGGAGAAAACCCCTCGCCTCCTGGTACCTGTCTTAGGCTGTATCCGGCTGCAGGTCGAAGGCGGCTATGGCCGCCGCGCTGCTGATGGATGCTGCCGGGCTCCTTGCTCGCCGCTGCTGCTGCGCTGCTGCTGCTCCTCCATGCTGCGCTAAGAATAGCGCTGACGCTGCTCCTGCTGCTGAACCGATACGACTGGCGCTCGAGCAGCGTCCCAGTGTTCGACGCCTCATACTGAGGCTGGACCGATCTTTTGTACCGGTGGAAAAGAGGCCGGCCTCAATGCTGCGAGGCCTGGCCGTAACCTGAACCGTCAAGATCGACGGTTCAGATCAGACCGGCGGGCGGCATCCTCAAAAGCGCCGCCAGGCCCAAACGGTAATGTCGTTTGGGCCTGCCCGTCGGGTCTGGTCCAAAACTGTGGCCTTTACGGCCTACTGTACCCCAAGTCCAGGCCTTTAGGCCCTACTGTGTCCCCTAGGCCCTAAGTCGGGTCCAGTAGGACCCGTGTGGTGTCGAAGATGTAACACTTACCCTACAACTATTGGGCCTCTAAGAATGCCACTTTTGTCTTCTTCTGCTCAGCCTCCAGTACCCGCACATCTACCTCTTCAGGGTGCGGTACCGGCCTACCTGCTACTTTAGTGTTTTTCCTGCTGCAATCCCTCAAAGTCATGGCCACAGGTAAGTACCGGCCCTGAGGGCCCAATGAACGAGCAAGTGCCCTTACGGGCCACACACACACTCGAGCCAACCAGCACTCAGACAGGCACGGCCACACACACACTCAAACCAACCAGCACTCAGACAGACATGCAGTCCAGCAAGCGTGCACACACAGACTTAGTAGCAGGCGGGAAACTCAGCAAGGCATTCAGTCTATGGGCAAAACTCAGAAATCAGTCGTGTGTTTCAGTCCATGTTTGGACGCGTCATCACAACCCAGAGAATGCAAAAACGATAAAGATGTCCCTGCAAAAAAGAGAGAGAGAGAGAGAGAGGAAAAAAACATTCCGAGCCGCTGTCAAAAACTTTGCTACTTGCTGTCCAGGATCCGGATGTCCATCTTGACATGTCCTCGACGGAAGTCGTCCAGGATCATGGAGCACCGCTTTCCCAATGATGCAGAGTCCAGATGGATGATTGAGCAGTGTGGCCTGGCATCCCCGGGCCACCAAAAGGAGGAACATGTTAACGTTTTGCTGAGGAACATGTTTTGATGTTTTAACCTGGCATTAGCCCTGTGATGGGGTGATTTGGAATTTTTGAACTGATTTTACGGTCATTGCCTCACAACACGAACACTTCATTTCGGGTTAGTACTGGCCAGGTATCAGGATGGCATCATTGTCATGAGCTGATTGCGGAGAGAAGGGGAGAGATGCTCGGGAGAGACGGGGGGGGGAGTTATGTGGGGAGATGGTAGAGGGAAGGGAGAGAGATTGCAGGGAGAGATGGAGCGAAATGGGGGAGACGGAGGAGAGATATAGGGGAGAGAGATGGTGGAGAGATGGAGGAGAGATAGCAGAGAGATGCGGTGTGGAGGGAGGGAGAGATGAGGGCCCAGATGGGGGAGGGGGAGGGTGTGGAGAGGCTGGGAATATATGGCAGAGAGATGGGGGAAATGGCGGCGTAATTCGGGGAGAGATGCTGGATAGATGTTGGAGCGATGGGGGAAGTCGGCAGGGAATTGGGGACAGAGAGGGGATATATGCCAGACATGGGGGGAAACCAGGAAGGCAAGAACAAGAACAAGAACATGGTGGATGTGGCTGCCTCGCTCTCTCTCACAAGTGCATGCCCGAATGCGAGCAACTTGGGGGAAACCAGGAAGGCAAGAACAAGAACAAGAACATGAGGAGGGGGAAAATGTGGAGCAAGAAGAGGATGAGCAAAAATACGAGGAAGTAGTTGAAGAGGCGGAGGAAGAAGATACTGTGGAGAAAAAGAAGGGGTGGACATTCAACTGGTGGCAGCTGGCAAAGGCTGTGGAAACAAGCAGTTCGATGTTTGAAGTGCTTGTTGTGCACGTGGGGTGCATCCTGTGCACATGACATGATGTGAAAATGAGCCCTGATCTGGGCCGTTAGATTGACCAGATGATGACCAATAGTGGTCAGGCCTCCCCAAACAGAACCCCCTGGCACCATTCCGCCTTTGGATGAGAAACCCAGGCCTTCCGTTATTTTTGCAATGATCTTACTGAATTCAGCGTCCCATTCTCACTAATGCAAGTCTCCATAGTACACACAACACTCAAAGAGCAAAGCACAAGATAGACATCAGCCGAAACTTCGAGGTACTATTCCAGAACTGGAAATTGTTGCAAGTCTCCAAACTCAAAAGTCCATGCAGCTATGGTCGCCCAAACTCTCTCTCTTCTTTCTCTTT